AAACATTTAAAAAAGCTAAATGGCATTCTTTTTACATTTTACTTTTCCTTTTAGTTAATACATAATAATAACACATACTTGTGAGCTATGCTGTGATGTTTCAATATGTGTGTAATGAGCAAATGAGAGCCATTAATATTTCTAGTTCCTTATCATTTGTCTCTTTCAGAGACTTGATGTTTGCTCTTTTAGTTTTTCATAAAATGCACAATAAGTTGTTGTAAACCATAGTTATAACACTGTGCTGTAGAACATGAGAACTTATTCCTGCTCTCTATTCCTATTATGGTACTAGTTACCTATCCTCCTTTAATATCCCCCACCCTTCCCAGCATGTAGTAATCACTATTCTACAACCAGAGTGACTGTTTTTAGCTTCCACATAAGAAAGAGTACATGCATATGACTTATTTCATTAACAAAACATCCTCCTGTTCCATCTACTTGGATGCAAATGACAAGATCATCCTTTTTATGGCTGAATAATACTCCATTGTGGGCACACAATGCACATTGTCTTCAACCATTCATCTGTCAGTGGACACCTCAGTTAATTCTGTGATCTGGCAGTTTGGTAATTTCTTACAGCAGCATAAGAAACCCACATAAGAGAGAGCAAAATAAAGGACAGTCTCCTTGCCAGGCTCCAGGAGGCAGCCACCTGACTCCTTGCTGGCAGAAATGTATCCCCATGCACTAGTATGAGAGGTGGAATAGCCATATGTCATTCAGAGCACGTGTGATCCGATCCATCCCTTGGTTTTGGAATCCCACCTTTCCTAAGATCCAGGGTTTCTGCTGGAACCTAGAGTCAGAGAGAAGGTGCACCCTCTTTCAGGACCTGAGGCTTTGAGCTCACACATTTGCTATGGTGGGGGTGTGATGACTGGAAGTGGCATGGTGGGGTAGGGGTCCTAGAGTGCTGAGTGGGTCTCTTCCTTAGTCTGTGGGGCTCAGTTCATGAAACCTATACCCATATGATTTGGGCACTGTTCTGTACATGAATTGTACTCAACAAAAAGGTTTCAAAAGTGATTAAAACTGCATATATTAAGTGAAATATCTTTGCTCAGCCCACTCGTGAGCCTGACTCTTGACTCCAGCTTCTTCTTAACTCCTGCTCTTCTCTCCTTGACACATAAGCCCAAGGGAGGCAGGGATGGGATGGGTTGGGGTCATTGATTATGTAAGCATCAGATAAGCCTGTTCACATACTATAAGATTGAAAACTCTCATAGCTGCCTCTTTCAACTCTTCAAAACAGCTGGACCAATTTGGTCAGTGAAATTGCCTCACTTGGGTACAAATCATATGGCTTTAAAAACAGCAATTACTCTGGTTGTAAAATCTCCTTTTGCTGATAACAGTTAGCAGATTTCAGTGTGAGCTCATGGGGATGTGGGGAAGCCTTTTCATTTTCCTCACTTCATTTTTAGTCTCCAGGACCCACACAAACCTGGATACGCATAGGTACTCAATAATGTCTTGTTGAAAAATTGGTAACTGAATTGTGTTCAGCTAAGAAGAGAGAAAGTAAATAATCTTGCTTGTGTCCAATAGCAATCACAGAAAAATTGGAAACTTGAATGGAAATAGTGTTAGTATTCTGTTTTCTAACTAAATTTACCTGTCACTAAAATATAATGAATGGGCATTAAACATCATTCCTTTACTTTGAAAACAAACCACTGGCTCTAACTTCCCTAAATTCATCCTAGTACTTAGGTATCCCCAAAAGGAAAAGGGAAACATGGTGGTTGAGATGACCCAGTTCCCAAGATTTGTAGGATTAATCCTTGCCACGTATGCAAAGACTTCCCTCCTCTGATGCACACATTCTTCTGATGGCATCTCCTCTACATGCTGAGTTAATGCATCTATCCTGCCCTCATTTACTGAGGCCATGCCACGGCTGAACTGGGCAGGTATACCCAGATGTAGGTACCTTATTCTCTGAAGACAAATGTCTCCTTACTTCTTGTCTGGCTTTTTTTTTGAACTGTCCTTGCCCTTCAAAATCTAATGACATCCTTTCTTCCTTCAGTGCCAGGTTCCCCATCCTGCATGATTCCAACCATATATACATTGCTTCTTCCTGGGTGCTTCAGCAGTATTTGTTGATCCCATTTACAGAACTCTTGACGCACTTGAGTGTACCTATTGAGTACGTGTCTGACCTCCTGCTTCTATTATGGGTACAAGCCAGATCTTATCTTTAAATTCCTAGCACTGATCATAGCACTGGGCACCCAAAAGATGTATACTGTAAAGCATGCTAAGCTAAATGACTGACTCTAGATTTCTGTCTAATGGCCTCTGCTTCTCCTTGCTGCACAGTACCCCAAAGTTGCTGGATGTCTGCTGAGCATCTGCCACTGCTCTGCATCCTTCACATCTGTCACTCATTGGATCTTGACAGCAGCCCTATTGTCACCCCTACTTTAAAGATGAGTCCACTGAAGAACATAGTGGCTGAGTCACTTACTCCAAGCACCCTAAACTGGATACACTACTGCTTCCTGATTTTCAATAGCAGATGTAATTTTTCTATTACCAGGAAATGAGTGAGATGAAAGAGACCTAACAGGCCATGCATTTGCTCTGATTATGACACTTGGTTTCAGTATTAGTGCTGACTTTGAAAACTCTTCAGTGGATATAATCTTATGAACCAAATTCCAAGGATAGAAAAACCACTGACTGTTGTGAATATGGTGCCTGGTTTCTGAGTAATAGCATGTGCAGCGTTAGTGCCACACTCTTGTACTTAGTCCCAAGCACTGCCCACTTCTCTGTGTGGCTGTGGCTGATAGTCCCCTTGACCTCCTCCTGGGTCAGAAGAAGGTGACAGTGGTGTTGTCTCAGAGTTTGATGGTACAAGTAAAGGACTCAGGATAGGTTGCAACAGAGGGCATTGACTCATTAGGATTTGGAACTCAGTCCAATAGTCATATTCATGGATGATATTTATTACAGCAAAAGACCACAAAGCAATTAAACAAAGGGAAAAGTCTAAGAAAAACCAGGTTCAAGCTTCTAAGTTCTCTCCCTGTGAAGTGACACAGGTCACCCTTCATTCCTCCAGCAGTAAGTGTGACAGCACAAGTGAAGTGTTGCATCAAGGAAGCCCATCAGAGACTTCTAGCTCAGGGTTTTCTCAGAGAGGCAGGGAAGGTGCCTCTCATGGACCAAAGTCCTACACTTCCAAAAGGAAAGCACAATCCCTGTTGGCTGTACACTCTTCTAGCCTTGGTCAGTCATCCTTATTGCTCAGGGAACGTTTCATATTGATAGAAGGAAACATTGACCAACTAAGGCCCAGCCTTGCAGGCCTTTCCAAAGAGAGTCAACTCTGGCCCTCCATGTGCATACCTGTCTGTGCAGGCAGCCACCAACCTTGTGATAGCTACTGTTTTCTGTGCTTTGATGATAAGTAACTTCATAGCTGAGGCCAGGAATCTCTACCCTTTTAAAGGCAGAGAAGTTACCAAATACTGCATCAGAGAAGCATTTGAGGAGAATGTGTGCTCAGGTCCTGTGTCCACACCAGTCACTTACCTGGCTTTCCCTTTTCTGCTCATCTGCATATTTAAACATCTTTAGCACATCTTTGGATCACACCTTTGTCATCTCTTCAGAGGAGGCACAGCCAATCCTGCCTTCTTTTACAGAGTTTATATTCCGGGTCTTCAAAACACTATTTTATGGTCTTTCTATACTTTGCATTTTTCTTCAGCAAGTCCATGTGTATTAGACAAAGTCCTAAAAACCTCAAATGCCATCAAGATCTGAGCAGAGTTCAGGAATCAAGGTGGAGTTTTGAGAACAGTAGAAAGAGTTTACACTCTCACAAGAAAACTGCCTTCTTCCCAGCAGAAGGCATCTGCTGGATGAAGTTCATCTGAAGACATCAGTTTTGAGCCCCCGCATTAGATTGGTTGTGATTTTCTTTATGTCAGAGATAATTCCTTCCATGATTTCATTGTTTCTTCAATAGAACAATACTTTTTTTCACTTATTCACCAAGTATTTATTCAATATAGCTATAGACCAAGGATTCAAGATAAAAAAAAAAAGACAAACTGTTTGCCTTAAAGATATCATTCTTTTAGGAAAACAGACCAAAAATGAGACAATTGCAGAATGCTTTAATAAGTTCTATGTTAGTTCCTCACACTGCATTATAAGATGTTACCAGGAACTTTATCTCTTTGCACAAAGCAAAGAGATGGTGTCTGCCATAGCCCTTGGAATACAGTGCCATTAAAAATGTATCTGTTGAATGATGAATGAATGAATGGTACAGTGATTGCAAAATAACTTGAGTATCAGAATCACTGGAGGGAACCATTATAAAAATACAGATCATGGGGCCCAACTGCAGGTGTACTAATTAAAACTTGCCAGGAAAGTGACCCAGAGACGTTCTTCATCCACAGAGTTTTCTTTATGAACATTATATTGGAAATAACTGGCCAATGGAGGTTTTTCCTGGTCTGTTTCATTCTGGCTACCGTGAGCGAATTAGGCATGAGCAGTAGAATAGGTTCTTGTGGAAGGGAAGATAGTGTACTGAGATTTTCTGTGCACCTGAACTTGTATCCTAAATGCCCCTGCCAACCCACAAAACCGGACTAGCTGCATTCAGGAGTAACTCCTGCCTGGAGTATGTCTCTTATTGATCCTAGCTGTGTGGCTTTGTTTGATATATTGTTGCAATTATCCAAACAATTCTGAGGTAAGCAAAGCCTCCAGATAGCCTCTCCTCCAACTACCTGTGCATATTAGCACAGCTCCGTAGGATGCTTTGGCACTTTATTTCTCTGTGGGTCAAAATCTTGCTTCTAGAACTCTGTATGCTACTTGAAGCCAGGAGCAATCTCTTATTTTTATCTCTGTGCTGTATGGGTAACACCTTCTAATGCTTGCTCAATACATGAGTTGAATCTATTTGAAACTAAAATTTAAATGATGTGATAATAATTTCCATTTTATTGTAGAGGCAAGCAAATTGAGAAACTAGAAGTGGATCCAAGCAAACATTCATGTCCTGATGTAACTACAATAGTTCGAGAGAAAAAACATGCACCCAGAAGGCTGGGATGTGAACCTAAAATTGTATCTAATGAGGAAGATCCAGACTTTGAAGATAACCCTGAGGTGCCCCCACTGATTTGAAACCCCAGCTGGGTTATCATTGGCTGTGACCCACGAGGCACCATGTTGCTCAGAGAATGGATTCATGCCATTTATGAAGTAAACAGAATTGTCTATCATTATTACTACTGCAATGTTTTAACTCCTATTTTGTATAGTAATATTCTTAAGTGGTTTAAAATTAAAGTGCATACCTTATATATGGAATAACTCATTTGTCTATAATAAAGAATCAGCTGTTTAAAATATTCAGTAAAATGGCATATCTATTACATAAAGCATTGATTATAAATCACAGACTCCCCACATATGCAACAGATTAAGTCATAGGTAAAAGGACTAATTATTAATTGGTACCTGACCAAATTGGTCGAGATCAGAAGTTAAAAGTGTAATCTCATACCCAATTGAAATGCTTTAATGTGATTTTAAACAGTGTTTCATCTGTTCTTTTGACATGTCTGCTTTGCTCTGGTGGCATGGTATTAAGGCAAGAAGATTAGTTTTGACAGTAGCTACCCTGTATTTGGATTATTGAATATTCACTTTGTAAAGACCTCACAAAGTCCTTTCATTCCTTGGACCTTAGCAGCTTCGTCTGTAATTGGGAAATAATACTTGCCTCATAAGTTTGTCTCATGAGGAGCTGTTTAAAGCACCTAGTCCAGAATTACTTGTGCATTAAGGCCCTGTTTGTCCTTCTCCTCTTCCTCCCCTTTTCACCTGCTCCTCCTTTCCTTGCTTCCTCAGTGTCTTTTCTCCTTCTCCCCTTATTCACCTTCTTCCTCCCCATTCTTTTCTTGCTCTCTACTTCCTTCTTTCCTTGTTGACATTGTTATAGTTTGAAATATCCTTCACAGCTTGGTCCCTACCTGATGTCACTATTTTGGGAGGGTGGTATAAACTGTGGGAGGTGGGGCCTATATAGAGGAAGGGAGTAGCTGAGAGCATGGCTTTGAAGATTATACCTGGTCCCCAGTCCCTTCCTCTCTCTGCTTCCTGTCCACCATGTAGTAAACAGCCTCCTCCTCCATAAGTTCCTGCCACCATTATGTGGAAGAGGATGCTGTTCCTGCCGAAGTGCATGAAGCTAAACAACCATAGGCTGAACCCTCTGATACTGTGAGCCAAAATAAATCTCCCCTCCCTTTGTTTTGGTATTTATTTGGTCACCTAGAAAGGTGTTTTTACAGAAACTCTTTTTGAGCGCATCATCAGTTCACCAGGGATTTTGGTGGCTATGGTTGAATATGCTTCAAGTGTGTCCTCCAAAGGTTCATGTGTTGGTAACTTGGTCTCCAGGGTGGTGGTATTTGGTGGAACCTATCAGAAATCCTTATGTGGTGGTAAAACTTGAGCCTGACCCTTGAGTCGTCTCTGGCTTTGAGCTGCTGTCACAATGTGACACCATGCACTCTGAGGCCCCAACTAGGGACTAAACCAAATGGGATTCCAAATCTTCAACCTTACCCTCCAAAACTGTAAGCTTAAATAAATGCCTTTACAAAGTCAGCCTGCCTCAGGTATTTCTTTGTAATAACACCAAACAGACTAATACAAGTGGTAAAAAAAAAAAAAAGTAGCCAAATATAGAACAAGTGTAGAAATGATACCATGTCTGGAGTGATAAGAGTGTTTTAAGAAGAATGAGACAGAGCAAGGGGATCAAGGGCAATGGAGTGCTTTTTCAGGTCTGGCCTCTCTCTAACAAAGGCTTCCAGCTGAAGGCTCTGCTAATGCTTCACCAGGGAACCAACATGTATCAGCCAGTGTTCACTCAGGAAGACTGAGCCCCTATAAAGACAATGGGAATACGGAGCCGATCATAGGAGTATGATTTGACACAGTGTGGAAGTGAGAGGTACAGAACTGGAGGAAGGAGCAATGCAGACAATTTGAACCTGGGATGCTGAGGCAGGGCTGTATGGGGAGCTTGTGGGAGGTCCGTGGAAGTTATTCCTCCACTGAGATCTCTGCCTCTCTTGAACTGCTCCCCCTCGGGCTCATGGCCAAGCTCTTGGGAGTGGGCTTGGGCCCCGTATAGTTCTTGATTTTGCAGCTGATCACAGGGCTGTGGCTGGTGACTGATGTTTATATTTTCCTTCTTCTTCTATTACATTATGTTTCCCTCAACAAGAACTTCATCTGCTGATCATTCCTGGCCTGGTGGCACCACCCAACCTTCACTCTGCAGGTGCTGTGCCATTACCAGTCCTACATGCATCATGTTGATTAGCTTTCCATCCATGTATTGTTACCACAAGAATTTAGAAGTGCTTTGTGATGCTCCTCGAACCTTCTGCATTTCAGCTATGTTTCTCCCTGTTCTCCCACCATCCTCTGTGAGTAGCAGTCACTCCATTTTCCTGCGATCATCAAATCACCTGGCCAGTACACCAACTTCCTTCTTTGCCTGCTGCTTTGCTAACACAAGGACCCTGAAGTTCCCAGATTGTTTCAGCCTCCAATGAGAAGGCAGCACCGTTGTGTTCTCCAATGTCTCTAAACTAACAGAGCCCAGAGTTTGAGGAACAGGGAGGAGAACATTGGCTAGTTTATCTTTAGGGGTTACAGTGAAAGTAGCCATCCCATTTTGATCTCTTTGATGCATCACCCCACAAAGTATGACAGCATCTTACTGGCACTGTAACTGAATCTTCCAACATCCACTTCATTGTTCTATCTATCATGCCAACTATTCCATTGTGAGGAAGAACATGGTAATCCATTGAATTCCATGATACCAACCCATTGGCACACTTCATTTGCTATAAATTGAGTTCCTGACTCCGTTGAAATACTATGGCAGTGAATACGGCATTCATTATTTAAGTCCACAGAGAATAGATTTGATGCAAAATTTGAACAGAAGGAAGACTGTCCTTCTATGGTGGACATGTTCCAGTAAAATCAACTGACCTTCTTTCTAGCAGGGGGCTGGCTGTTCCCCTTTCTGGGACCTTTAAGGGACCACGTAATGGGTTCAATGTTGGCTTCTGCTATTGTCATATTGGCCACTGTGGAAACCTGAAAACATGTCTGCAAATTGTTTTACCCTCCAATTAAGACATAGGCCCTGCCCTCTCATCTTGATCAGGGCTAACCCATAGAAAGGATTCTACATGGAGGACAGAGCTATACCACATCACAGCAAAAAATCCTGTATTACTTCTACTTGGTTGTTTGTAGAACTTGCATTGGGTAAATCAGCCACCATGTAAGAAGCTGGCTGCCCAAGGACTGCCATGCTAGATGTACCACACACCAGACCAGTAGTGCTCTAGCCAAGAACATTGAATGCCAGAAAAAGGAGGGTGCAGTCTTTAATGTCCAGTCCAATCAGGCCTCAGATGACTGCAGTCCTGGCCAGCTTCTGACTGAGATGGCAGGAGAGACCCCAGTTGAAAATTGCTCAGTTGAAGTTTTTCAAAACTTGACCCACAAAATTGTGAGCAAAATGCTGTGGTTTTATTAATCTGCTAAATGTAGGGAGTCATCTCCTTTGTAGCAACAGTAACCAGAACAGATTTGGTTTCCAGAAGTAGGGTGAGTTCCATCATAAACATCTAAGAGACAAGGTCATTGCTGGGAACTAGGAATAACCAAGTTGGAAAGCCTTGGAAGAAGCCCATGCACTTGGATTCTCTGGAAGCTGACACCAAGTCAAAAGTAGATTTATTGGGGGTAATGCCTTGTAAAGAGAGAAGAAACAGAGCAGACATAGGAAGGGAAAGCTTTTGACCTTTCAACTTCCTATCAGGCTTGATACCTGCAAAATGAAGAGAAGGAGGATGGATGATTGGATAGAAAGAGCCTCCATGCAGTGGGAGGCTCTACTGAAGATAGACATGCTGGGCAGAAATGGCCATGCCCAGCTACTCCAACCATGTTCACTGCCTGGGAACTGCCCGTGGACAGATAGGAGCCTCTGCATCCAGGGTATGGGGGCTCCTGAAGGACTGCTCTGAGGCCAATAGTTCATGGCACTCTGAGCTTGAGGATCTTCTTGAAGGTCTGCATCATGCGCTTGTTTGATGGCCTCAACTCTGCCACACAAAAGTGACAGGCTGCATGAAGTCTGTCAGTGAGTACTCACAGAACAGAGGGGAATGTCCTTCAATGCTGGAGGAAGAGAGGCTCTTGTTGTGTAGTAAAGTTTAGTAAAGGTGTTGCCTGTGCTCACATGGAACATTTTAACCTGTACCTGGTCATTTGATGGATGCAGTGAAAGAGATTTCCTATTGGAAAGTGGAAGATGTTAACTTGTGTCTTTCAGTTGTGATTCCTAGGGTACAAACAGAGATAAGCTAAAGAAGGAATTAGTCTGTGATCAAGTAGAAGGGAGAGGACTTGTAAAGGATCTGAACTGGTTAGGTTCAGAAGCAAATACCAAAATCCCTGTCACTTCTACCAGAAAGAAAGAAGGGCCTCCCCATGACTGTGAACAACAGTGTTGTTTTGGATTCCTAGAAATTACCATTTGATTCCAGAGCCAGGGTCCAGGAATCCCTGAAAAGTCTGGCAGTTTCCTTCCTCCCAATGCTCAGTCACCGTGATAAGTTTGAGGCTCTTTGCACAAGGCTAAGGGGAAGATTTATAGGATGAAGTGTTGACAGGATAGAAGACCCGTTTCCCTAGGAGATTTGGCTGTGAATTGGAGCCAAATGGATAGCTGGGAAAAGAGTATTCCAAAAAACCTGGAAATAGCAAGTACAAAGACCCTAATGTAGAGCATGTCTGGCATGTGTCAGGGATGGCCAATAAAATGCTTGATTAGAGCAGACTAAGCAAGACAGAGAATGTTAGGAGAGGAGCTGTACAGGGAATGAGAGTCAGGTCATGGCAATGGTGTAACGATAATGTTTGATCTAACAATATCACCATCAAGCTGGGGTGTTTCATTGTCCCTAAAAGAATACTGTTGGATTTTGTAGTGGTTTTCCAAATGTTTCCCATGGCCATCTCATTTTTGATCTTCAGAGAAATCCTCTGGAATAAACATTTGCTCCTTCTTCCACCCAGTGTTGTTTAACTGCACCTGCG